AGCAACACCCTCGCACGACTATCCAACTTGACTTTCTGTTGCATTACGAGGTCTGGTCTCTTCGGCTCAGAATATCAGCCTTCAGGTTATTCTTACCTGCCGTATACGTAATGTGGAAGTTGAAGTCGGATAGTAGTTCCATCCATCGCACCTGCTTCGCGGTGAGAACCTTCGTCGTCATGAAGTATTCGAGCGAGCGGTGGTCCGTATACACCTCGACTCGCTGCGTAACAGAGGCCAACTCAGGTCTCCATTTCGCGAACGCTTTCACGATGGCGAAGAGTTCCTTGTCATGGATTTCCCAGTTGATCTCATGGCCGGTAAGGACGTGGCTGTAGAAGCTCACTGGGTACCAGAGCTGGTCCGGGTGCTCTTGTGATAGCACGCCGGCGACGACTCCGTCTGAAGAGTCGGTCTCTAGCTTCGTAGGCAATTCGGGGTTGAAGTGGTGTAGTGCCTGCACCGCTAGTAGCTGCCGCCGTAATTCTTCAAAGGCGTTCTCACATTCCTCAGTCCATAGGAACGGCTCCGAGGGGCTCGTGATGGTAGTCAGGGGCTTCGCGATCTTCCCGAAATTGCGTATGAACTGGCGGTAGAACCCACAGAAGCCTAGATAGGATTTCACACCGGTAACGGTGGTCGGTCGAATCCAGTTTCGAAGGGGTTCGATCTTGTCGGGGTCCGCCTCGACACCGGAAGTGGTCAGTATGTAACCCAGGTACTTAGTTCGGGTAACATTGAACTCGCACTTCTTGAGGTCGGCTTGTAGCCCTGCCTCACGAAGGCGCTGTAGGACTTTGTGTACGTGCTCTATATGTTCCGTAGGGTCCTCGGAGTATATGAGAATGTCGTCGAGGTAAGCCGTACAGAAGTCGTCCAAGTATTGCATGAGGACGTCGTTCATGTAGCGCTGGTACGTTGCGGGGCCGTTGGTCAGTCCGAACGGCAGCACCTTGCACTTATAAGATCCATATCGAGTCCGAAAGGTAGTATACTCTTCGGAGTCAGGGTGCATTCGTATGCGATGGAAGGCTTGTCGGATATCTAGTTTCGTGAAAATCTTGGCTTTCGACACCCGTCCAAGTAGTTCGTCGATGCGCGGTATAGGGTACGGATCGTTGCGGGTGAGTCCGTTCAGCTTGCGGTAATCAATGCAGAACCTCAGTTTGCCGTCCGCTTTCTTAACGAAGAGTATAGGGGACGCAAAGGGGCTATTGCTATTGACGATGAAGCCTTTCTCCAGGTTCTCCAGCAGGTATTGCTTGGTAGCCTTAAGCTCTTTGGTGCCTTGCCGGTAGAGCGGGGAGAAAGCGTTTGGTAACGGCGCCTCTAGCTGTATCTTATGATCGTATACCCGGTGTGGTGGTAATTTATCAGATTCCGATTTTGAGAAGACGTCGGTGTACTTTCGGTGCACAGGCGGGAGTTTCTCCTGGATGAGTGATATCGTCTCGTCATCCTCTTCGGATTCTTTTTCCCCGAATGATCTGATCGATCTCGTAAAGGCTGGTCTGGAAGAACTCGCATCGCTTCGCATCATCTCGTGGTGGAAGGCGTTTGCACCGATCTCGCAGATGTGCACCGGCGTGAAGCTTTGTACAGGCTTCGCCGTGGCAAGAAAGGTACCCCTGGGATCTGAGGTGTACTCGGGGCAGTGTCGGTGTCATTCCGGAGTCCGAAATTATCACTTTCATTTCCATCGAGCGTCCGCCTGCGCGGCGTCTGTCTTCGTGGTGGATTGCGGCATCCCTACGATTCGCATCCGACTGGTGAGAAGGATGTCGAATGGACGTTTCGCGCGAGTGGTAGGGCAAGGTGATCTCCTTGCTCCAGCTAGGAGTAGGCGGGTACTCCTTTGGCCATACTAGCCGGCTCTTTGCAGAGTCGAGTAGTATTCGGAAGCGGCTGAAAAGCTTCCTCCCAATTATCACATCTTGCGCTCCGAGGTCCAGGAGCACAAAGGGGCAGTTATATATTCGGCGTCCTTCGACTGTTAAGTGCAACCGAATATACTCCGATACGTGACTTTGGATTTTTCGCTGAAAACCACGTATGGGTACAGAGTAGGGCAGTTTCCGTATGGGGCTCTGAAGCGCCTTCGACAGTCGTAGCGCGAAGGCTTGTTGATGACGAGGTATCCGTTTGCTCCTGTGTCTGCGAGAGCCTTCGTTGCACACCGAGTCCGTTCAGACTCAGCGTCGTGTCGACTAAGAACTGGGTTCCGCCCAAGAGTTTTGTAGGTCGAGATCTCGCAGATCACATTTGCGTAGACCTAGGAAGGAGCCTTTCCCTAGGCCTCGTCGTTTTCCTCCAGGGACGCATCCGATTGGGAGTTCGACTGCCTCCTCCCACTGCTCTTCGGGTTCAGGGGCTTCGCGGTCAATCTCTTTGACTGTGGGGTTGAGCGGGCACCTGTCCTGGAAATGACCGGGCTTCCCGCATTTGAAACAGTTTCCAGACGCAGCCGGCACGGCGGTCCGCACGCGACCTGTTATGTCCGGCTTGGGGGCGGTGGGTATGAAAGGAGTCCTCTGGAAGGAACCCAACGGACTTCTTGTCGTCTTCGGTGGTTGGGTCTTGGCGGCCTCCACAGGCGGGAACCTGGATGAGCCGAGGCGGGCCCGTCCTGGGAAGCTCGACTCGCTGCTCTTGGACTGGGAGCTCAACTCGCCGTTCCTGCGTCGCTCTTGGTCGAAGGCGGTTAAGGCTCGGACCATGGTGAGGTAATCGCCTTTCCATTGGTCCTTCACGACCGCCACGCGGCTGCGGAATTGCGGTGTGAGCTTGTTCCACATATACCGAAACCACTCCGATTGTGATACTTGTCCCGTAATCGCCGCACTTTGGAAGCGGGCTTTGAACTCGGGGAAGGTTTCGTGTAAGTGACCCTTTTCGCCCATCTGCATATCGTCGAATTCGTTCCGGGCCTGTTCGGTCTCATTACCCGTAAGGTAATATGATCCTAATAGGTCCATCATTTCGTCTGCGCTCTGGAAGCCATGCGTATCCGATAGGTATTGGGGTTCTAGATATTTCTTTGCTAGGCCGGTCGTAGTTCCCCATATCAACGCTCTTCTCGAGACGTCGGTAGGGTAGTGGTCCTCATTGACTACAAGTCGGTCCCGAATGGACGGCTCCATTGCATAAAGGTATGTTCTATCCCATCGCTGAGCGGCGTAATCTTCTCAGAGATGGTGGATTTCTTGTAACGGTTCGGAGGGTCCACGGTGTACTGTCGGGTAGACCCGGGATTGAAGGAGAGCGCGCATTGTCGACAGGTGGCAGTCGAACGGTGCCGGGCGTGTTTCGCATTGTCGGTGCAGGCTGTTCGTCTTCGTCGGCCTCAATGGTGCGCACTGGGGCGTCGGCAGCCGGTGGTGGCGTAGACGGTATTCGGGTCTGGCTAGCTACGAGGCTGGCTACCATCGCCTTGAGCTCCCGCATCTCGTTCTCGAGGTTCGCTATGCGATCCGGGGGGCTTTCGGATGGCCCTGCGGTCGTGCCCGCTGTGGCGGTTTGCCTAGTTGTCATTCGTAGCGGTTGACCGTCATTGTCGGGTGGTGGGTTTTGTGTCGTCTTGCGCGACATCTTGATTCGGGGGTGTATCGAGTCGCAGTCGATACGGAAGAGTTTGACTTCCGGTAGCTCGTAGCTATCAACACTCTTGTTCACAATTGCCTCTGTGCTTGAGGGGTTCTTTAGGATCTCGTATCCTATTCGGCGCCAACGCGTCGGCGACTTTACCAGCTTGCTCTGCAGGATCAAACCCTGATCCACTGGCTGTCCGTGAGTTCTCTGGGTCACGGCTATTGGAGTCATCAGGTCTCTACTTCGAAATGTCACCGAGTCGCGGTCGGTGGTGTTTCGACAGTTCTCCTGAGTCGTTCCGGTTGTGGATATTCTTTGAGTACGGCCGTCCCCGGCAGGCGTGATCTTTTTTGTATAATGTAAGGACCAGGGCACCGTATCACGAGAAGTGGCATATGGGAGTGCGAGTCGGATATGAGTCGGTGCAATCCTATAGGTCTACTACGAAGGATACAAAAAGATGAAAGGGGAGCTATAGCTTCCTACCCCTTATGTACCTAAATGGGGTCCGACTCGGCTAGGCCTTAGCGTACCGGTAGATCCACTCCCGTCTGCCGCCCGAATCGACCCCGACCCTAGAACATCTATGCTGCTATACTACTATGTCGCCTATTCCGCGTTGTCTTACGGGTCGAGGGTACCCCGTGTAAGGAGGCATCCTTACATACATGCGAATTGACTATTACTACAGCTACTACCACCTTATATAATAATCCCTATTCAATCGTAATTGATTCATATCCTAACGCCTTTCAATTTATGTTTTTGCTGCCGTGAAATACGTTAATCATGATTATAATTGATTTTCTAACCCTGAACTACCCCATGCAATGCCATTCATTTTCCCCGAAACAATTATGTTCCATTAGGTTCGCGGTTTCGATTCACCATGGGGTGAAATTTTCACAACAACATTAATATATTTTATTTTATTTTACATTTCTTTAGATTTCTAACTACGACTAGACATCAGGCTATCAGAATCTGGATTTATCATTTTGAGGAACTCTATCCACCCGAGTAGTTATCAGTCACCAACAATAAGGCCTGATTATCTCCGAGTCTGAATTACAATATGTGATAAATGAAGCTGAAAGGGTTTGTTTACATCGTATGATAACCTCGCGCCCATCGCTCCTTCCACAACAACTCAACTCAACTCGCACCTTCTCAATCCCCCTCCTTCGCGCCTTCCCTATTAAATTATTACATTCTTATCGAGAGTAAATTCCCAAGATGGCCACCCCCATTCACACCCACCCAAGCCATCGCTCAACTCTATAGCTCCCAACATCCATCCCACACTTCTCAGACCCCACGTCACATCACCATATCCCAACCCCTATTATCTCATCCTCTCCCCACCGCACCTCACGCCACCCCCACCCCCCAAAAAAAACCAACACCCCACAATGCCCAACCGTGACAGAGGCAGTAAAACAGACCATAGCGACAACCCCCCCCAACTTCGACAACAACGCATTCAACACAACCAGCCCATCCAGCCCATCATCATACCTCGGCCGCAGCCCACCCAGCTTCAGAACCGGCTTTGTTGATCCTAACTTCGACGTCGCACGTATCGGTCCCTATCTTGGCCCGGAGATCGAAGCGGAACTACAAGCTGCGCGTGACGCGAGAGCATGGAGGATTGAACAAGGTGTTAGAGAGGAGTTGGCCCAGGAGCCCTACGGAGGGGAGGAGT